TCCCCGATGTAATTTTGAATAATTTTGTTTCTTCTCTTTTGATGCTCGTTGGATCAGCTTTAGGGGAGTTGGGAGGTTTTTAGAGGCATTTTGCTACTTGTCTTCTCATGTTTCTGTTTGTTTTTATCTTGAGACTGTGGGCTGATCATAGTGGAAATCTTTGTTTCTACTATGGAGACCTCTTTATGCTGGGAACCGGCCGGGCAAGGACAAAACCTCCTCATGGCAATGGGCATGACTTCCTTGTATGAGCAGAAGGCAGTGGGTCAATCTGTGGAGCCAGTGGTCCTGAACAGTTCATTATGCTCCTAAATAATGCTTACAACAGAAGCAGGAACTTTGGGGTTGAATCTACGGCTAGGGTTTGGCAGCCTGCCTGAAAAATCTGTACTTAAGTGCTTTGCTCAATAAACAAAACCGCTGGTTACCTTCCCCGGTCCTCCTGACCCTTTCTTTCTTTAGTTCATTCCCTCTCCCCTCCCCCTGTTCCCTCGGTCAGAGCTGGACTCCAGCATCTTTAGCTGATGTCTATTTCTCAGTGGTGTGCCCTGGTGTGGCTATCGGCCCTTGACCCTGTTTCAGGATCCAACCACCTCCATTTACTTGGAATAAGAGGCTGTACTGTATTCGACCCAGTACCCAGTTCTCTAGGAATGGGTCAGTATTGTTAATGAGCCCAAGGCAATCCAGATGTTGGCATTCCAAGAGAATCAACTCATAGCAACAGCTGTGTCACCTTGGCGGAAGTCAGTGTCCCTTACAATGTGAAATACAAACTTAGTGCTGACAAACCCTAAGTGGATTGCTGAGCAGATGTACTCAAAAGCAATCTGACAAGGGCTGATTAAGTTCTCTGGACAGCCACCTAAGCCAGAATGAAATTGAAGATGAACTGTTAGCAGCATAGCTCCAAGCCTCTTCCAGATCCTAGCTTTGAACCTCTTATCCTGGGGCAAGGAGCCATGAAGATGTCCTGGGACTCCAGGACTCCAAAGACTGTAACTTTGGGGCTGGGGATTTAGCTCAGCAGCACAGTGCCTGCCTGGCAAGCGCAAGGTCGTGAGTTCAATCCCCGGTATTGGGAAAAAACAAACAAACAAAAAAACAAAGACTATAACTTAAAGGAACACCCCACACATATTTTTTGGGTACTGGGGATTGAACTCAGAGCCTTACATCTGAGTTATACCCCCAGCCCATTTTTTACTTTAAAAAAGTTTTTTTAAACACAGAGTCTAGGTTCAAGCTGGCCCTGAATTCACTATATAGCCCAGGCTGACCTTGAACTTTCTGCAAATCTCCTGCCTCAGCCTCCAGTGTGCTGGGATTATAGGAATGTGCCACTATACCCAGCTTTTATTTTTTTATTCTGAGACAGGGCTTTCCTAACGTTCTACGTCACCCTCGGTAAATTGGATCTTGCAATCCTCCTGCCTCAGCCTCCCAGAGTGCTGGGGTTACAGAAGTGCAGCACCATGCCCGGATGAAAGGCATCTTTAATGGAACCTAGTCCCGTCTTGTGGGTGACTTCCTATCCCTCTCGCTTGCCCAGATTATGCCTAGGGACTCTCACCTCTGGAAATGCCAAAGCCTTGCTGGTTGCCCAGGAAACGGTGGCAATCCTTCCTCCAGTCTGTGTCTAAGGCCCGGAAGCTGCTGGGCTGCAGAAATCTGTCCTTCTCTTAATAGGTTGATAGGAGGGGTGGGGGAGAAGCAGCAGAAAACACAGAATCAGAGGCGGGAGCACTGGTGGCTGGTGTTCGTGTCATCACTCTGCGGTCTGCCACCTCTGCCTGATGGTGCCGAGAATTTAAGAGAAGAGCACATTCACTTATCTGAAACAGTACTAACCAGGCTGGTTCTCTCTGCCCCAGCCAAGCTGGTTCTCAGGGGCCAGCAGAAGCAGCTGTCCTTTGCTTATCACGATCAGCTGTCCCCTGGGCTGGACCAGGATTCTGACCAGGGCAGCTGCAGAAGGAGCAGATGCCGGAGGCTGCAGAGGCTGCTAAGGTCTTGTTTTCTACTCTCTGCCAATCCTTCCATTCCTGCTTTGGAAGGAGGTGTGACTCCTGCCCTAGGGGCTTCTGCTGCCCTGCTTATTGGGCCAGGCAGGTGGGTGCTGTCCCTGGGCTAGGCCTCCAGATGACAGAAGTGGGAGCAAGCTTGTCCCTTTCTAGTGTCCGGCCTGCAAGACAGAAAGTGTCCTGAGCTGTAGAAAAATGAAGAAGGCAGGCAATTTCAAAACTAAGATCTCACCGGACATGGTGGTGCACTCCTGTAATCCCAGCACTCGGGAGGCTGAGGCAGGAGGATTGCTGCGAGTTCAAGACAAGACTGCAGTACCTAAGTGAGCTCACAGCCAGCCTGAACTACATAGTGAAACTCTGTCTCAAAAAGACAGAAAACAAACAAACAAACAAAAAACCCTAAGACCTCAGAGGACTCAAAATCTCCTAGGAAAGGGGGTCTGTTCAGCACGTAAAAAAATCACTTCCTAATGAGTCACAGGTTTACACTCTGGGTAAACTGCAATAAATTCTTCTTCTTGGGGAACACAAAAATTGTGGAGGGCCCAGACCTCTGCTGTGGGAGTTTAAGGGAGAGTGGAAGAAAAGGAGGCTGGGCCAGGCTGATAGCAACTTTGCTCAACTGTTTTTAGCTCTTGAACCAGAGGTGCAGCTGGACGTGGTGGCAGGTGCCTGTAATCCCAGCACTCGGGAGGCTGAGGCAGGAGGATCGTTGTAATTTCAGGGCCAGCCTGGGCTGCACAGTGAGCTCAAGGCCAGCCTGAACTGCATAGGGAGAACTGTCTCAAAAAGACCAAACGCAAAACAAAACAAAACAACAACAACAACAACAAAAAAAACCGCAAACAAACAAACAAAAAAAACCAGAGGTCCTGGGCACGGTAATCCAGATGTTCAAAGAAGGGAAGGCGGAGTTCTCAGATCCCACACAGCAGAAATGATTTCCCAGCCTTTCTTGTCAGGCCTAATGTGCATCTGTCTACAAACGTGCCCGGGAGATAGTTTCACTTTCTAAGGAGCTCTGCAAATGTCCCACAGGGCGCAGCTTTACTAGTGTGCGTCAGTCCCGCTCGGGCCCCACTGACCTCAGGAACAGCAGCGGCTGCCCGGAGGGAAAACTGTGAACAGCTTGACTCAAACCAGAGCTTTGTCCCTGACTGCGGATGGCTCTTCACGAGACCAGCGTGGGTTTCAACCTAATGAAATTCTGCAAGGATACGGGCAACCTGAAATGTCATTTAATTTACCTTTAATTTAATGTCTCAAATTAACAAGTATCAGGGGAGACTGAAAATTCTTGAGGTGGACCTAGAAGTTCTGTGGACATCCTCAATGAAAACAAGGCATGGTCTGGTGCATTCTTCTACGACATCTGAGTCTATGGGGCGGCTCTATCTTTTATTGTCTTTGTTTTTGTTTTTGTTTTTGTTTTGTCTTTTTGAGACAAGGTCTCCCCATGCAGTTCAGGCTGGCTTTGAGCTCACTTTGTAGCCCAGGCTGCTCTCGAACTCACAAGGATCCTCCTGCCTCAGCCTCCTGAGTGCTGGGATTACAGGCGTACACCACCACACCCAGCTCATTGTCTTTGAAATACTCTTCATCTCCCTAGGTTGTAGAATTCTGGTAGTAACACGAAAGATCCAAGCCCAGAGAAATGCAAATTGCTTCAGGTGGGGATGATGCAGTCCATCATCGCCCTAATGCTATTGAGGAATTTTTCATCTATTAAACTAATTCATTTCAGCATCCTTGAAGACAGCCTTTTATCTATAGATCAATCGATCGATCCATCATTTCATCTATTTATCTGTCTAATCATATATATACTCTTTGATTCTCCTTTTTTTTCTTTGTTTTGTCTTTTTGCAACAGGGTCTCGCTATGCAGTTCAGACTGGCCTTGAGCTCACTTTGTAGCCCACGCTGGTCTCGAACTCACAACGATCCTCCTGCCTCAGCCTCCCGAGTGCTGGGATTACAGGCGTGGGCCACCACACCCGGCTTTTGATTCTCCTTTGAGCAGTTACAGCTCCCTGGCTCCCTGATTAAGTGACTCAGTTAGGTAAAACATTCGAGCTGTTTGCATTTGACATTTACATGAGAGTTATGATTTTACTCTTAAAATTATCCTTTACCACAAGACTCCACCATGGGGCTTTCCCTTCCGTAACAATAGCTAACAATTATTGAATGCTTAGAGCCCTTCTCAGAAGCTGTTTGATTTAATCTTATGAGTCAGGCACTATTATCCTCTTTTTTTCTCTCAACAAGGGACGGGAGACTCTCAGAGCGGTTTGCACACCGCCCCGAGCTCTCCAGTGTGAGGAGTGGTAAAGTCAGTTGGACGCCGGCTGCCTGTCACCAAAGCCCTTAATTCCTCGCCTAGTGCCTGTGTGAGAAAAATACTTCAGGGCGCCTTGAAATGCCCACACATATAAAAATCTTTGGCCTAGGGCAAAGACAGAACTGGCCAAAGTCTGGAAAAGTCAAAATACATGGAATGTGAGACATTTATTCACCAAGGTTATTCTGGGATGTAATCCTTCACTGTGCTCCATACAGCTGTCTGAGAGCTTCCTGTTTCTTCAGGGCTACATTACCTGATTACACAGAATTAAAATGAACAGATTATAAAAATACAAAGGCAGCTAAATTGGGCTATGGGAATATGCGCAGGAAATGGTGCTTCAGGGCGCAAATCAGATTCGTCTGATTTAGGGCTAAGCCAGGAGCCTGTATAAACATTGCTAATGCAGAGTGAGGATGGGGTGGCCTAGCTGGGTTTTGAGATGTACCGCACCCAAATGTCAAGGACCTGTGTTAATTAGAGCTATTTAAAAATGGATCGGTTGCCTGGAGAAATACACACACACACACACACATGCACTCACACATGCACTCACACATGCACACACATACACCTACACACACCCTGTGTACCTGAATCTTCACAGAGTTGTATATGTAATTCCAGGTTTCCTGATAATCCAGAATCAGCCCACCTGCCCTTCAGTGGATGATGGCTAGACAAATGACATCACATCTACACAACGGAATATTACTCAGTAATGGAAAGGAACAAACTATATGTACACACAACTTGGATGAATGTCCAGAAATTATACTGCGCTAAAGAAGCCAACCCCTCCAAATATGATTCTATCCATAAAACATGTTTGAAAGAATAAATATTAGCAAATGCAAGACAGATTACTAGCTCACCATCCATAATCCAAAACTCTAAAATCTGAAATACCCACCAATTGGAAACTTTTGAGTACAAACATGATGCTATAGCGGAAAAACCCACACCAGGAAACTTTGTTTGATGCACAAAGTTATTTAAAATAGTGTACAAAATTACCTTAAGCTATGTATAACAAGGCACAAGCATATGTTTGTTTGAGACAGGGTCTCACTACGTAACCCAAGCTAGATTTGAACTCACAGTGATCCTCCTGCCTCAGCCTCCTGAGTGCTGGGATTACAGGCGTGTGCCACCATGCCCTGCTAAGGCATGAGTGTAATAAGTGAATTTTATGTTTAGACTTGGGTTAAGTATTGTGCAAGTATTCCAAAATTATGAGAAGAGTCAAAATACCTCTGGTCCCAAGTATTTCAGGGAAGGAATACCCGACCTGCTAGGGACATTTGTCCAGAGGTCAGGGCTGTGGGCCGTGGACTGTTGGGGAGAAGCAGGGGCAGCTACACAAGGGTGGGAAGAGGATTCCTGCTGGTGTTTGCTCTCTTGTCACCTGTAGTCTTGGGCCTGGGAAACCACCCGGGGGATAAAGCTGGATGGAACGTCACTCACACTCGGACAAAAGTGAGTACAAGGAACACGGGAGATTTGGGTGGATCCGCAGATTCTAACACCAGTATCCTGGTTATGACATTATACTGCAGTTTTGCAAAACGTTACCACCCAGGGAAAGGTCAAAGCACATATCTCTATGTCATTTACCACAAATGCATATTAATACACATTATCTCAGTAAAACACATCTTTTTTTTGTTCACTTTGTTTTTATAATGCTGGGGATTAAAAAAAATCTACTTTTTTCGTTGTTGTTGTTTTTCCAGTACTGGGAATCGAACTCACGACCTTGCGCTTGCCAGGCAGGCGCTGTGCAGCTGAGCTAAATCCCCAGCCCCTCTACTTTTTTAAAGGGTGCCAGTTTCCTGTTCCTGAGGGATCCTAGTGCTTCTGGGAAAAATCTTGAAGCAGACATTGGGGAATCGCTGCTTTAGGGGATCTCCTCCCTGCTAGCCTTCTGAGTCCTCCAGACAAAGGCCCCCTCCTTCCTCTGTCCCGAGACTGTGCAGAGGCAAACCCTCTGTACCAAGAGAAAAAGGTCCAGCGAGCTGTTCTGAAGACGTCATTCTGTCAGCACGCGCGCTCCCTAAGGCCAGGATTTCCCTGCTGTCCAGGGTTTCGGGCTCTCAGGACTGTCCACACTGCTGCTCAGAATGTGTAAGAAACTTGGACCTTCTCCAAGGGCGAGAAGGCTCAGACACGCTCTAGATCAAGGGAAATCCTAGCTGCAAAGCAAACGGGGCCGTTCAGCGCCTCAGAAAGCGCACAGGCGTCCGAGACAGACAGTTGTTCTAGAGGCACTGAAACACCCAGCTCCTAAGTGAAGTGCTTCCCTGAGCCAGGCCAAGGCCAGCTTCACCCACAGATTCTTCCAGTGAAATCGTTAAAGGGGCGGGCGTTTCCCCGGCCCCCGTAGAGTGCAGCCTAGAGAGGGATCCGCTAGGTCAGCTTCTAGAGCAGGATTCCGAGGCCCTGGGCTTGGCCATGACTTGCTGCTGTGACCAGTGAGGGCGCTGCCAGGCCTGGCCGTGCCTCGGGACATCCTAGCCAGGGGCTTCCTTCGTCTTCTCTGAGTCCCTGTTCAGCACTTGCCCTGCGTCCCTCTGTCCCAGGACCTCACACAGTATGTGGATGCTGGGCCCAGGGCCCGGCTGCCCCTCAGGAGTGGCCTGTGGGTTTGGCCAATCCTGGCAGAGGCAGCTCTGACAGGGCCTCTACCGACCACATCTGAATCTCCTGCAAACACAGAAGGGGCCGCTGCCCCGGCAGGTGTCCAGCCTTCCCCGTGTCCTGGCGTCCCTGTGTTGGGACCGTGTCCACTGCACCCCTCTTCCTCTGCACCCTCTCCCGCTCCCGTCCAAAACGAGGGGCTCGCACCCCCAGCGGGAGGAGCCCCACACTTCCAGGACGCAAAAGGACCCTGTATTTCAGTTTTTTACCAGTTAACTCAATACCACCTGCCTCTTCCTGTTGGTACTTTTTTTTTTTTTTTGTCTTTTTGAGACAGGGTCTCGCTGTGCAGTTCAGGCTGGCGTTGAGCTCAGTTGAGCCCAGGCTGGTCTCAAAGTCACAACAATCCTCCTGCCTCAGCCTCCCTAGTGCTGGGATTACAGGCATGCACATACCACCAAGCCAGGCTTGTCGGGACTTTTAAAAATTTGTCCTTTTCTGTAGATACATTTTTAAACCCCTACTCAGAAGGCCCCGAAGGAACGGAAAAGCAGGGCCACTGTTCAGCCCCGGGGCCTCATTGTTCCCCCCGACACATTGTTCTGCCTCTGCTGACCCAGAGCACCCGGAGCCCTCGGGAATCCAATGCCATTGTTTTTCCCAAGCCCGGGCTCTTCAGGTGTGAGCCGCAGCGCTGGGCCGCGTAAGTTACTGTAGCATTTCTGCAGCCGGAAAGAGGAAGGAACTTGTGACCCGCATGCCCGTGGCATCAACAATGCGCCCAGGCAGCCCAAGCAGGAGAGGAAGAGGGCTCAGTTTCCATAGCGATAAATCACCAGGATGGGACCGAGTGAGCCAGAGGCGCGGCACCGGGATTTTTCGCTTCCCTGGGCTCCAGCAGGCACGGCCCCAGGCCCAGAGCTGGCTGAGCCTTCCGAGCTGCAGGGGTCACGGCCCGGCTGCAGAGGGCGGAGGGGCCCTGCCACACCTGGGCGGCCGCTCCTCCGCGCCTCACCCCGCCCCAGCACTCCTCTCCGCTCCGGGCACCCTGGCCCCTGCTGCGTCCGGTGCAGTCCCTGTTTGCAACGCAGGACCCGGGCCTTGGTGGGAGGGACTCATGCCGGGGCCAGAGCGGCAGCCAGGGGCCTCTGCGGGTCCTGGGGGGTCTTCTCACACACATTTCCCCGCAAAAATCAGACGCGTCCCCACTGAAAACATCCAAGTTTGTTCGTCTGTTCTTATGCTCTGAAATGTCATTTGTGCCCGTTCTCAGACCTTAACCTCTGCGCGTGCTGTTCCCTCTGCGCAGAATACCGTTCCCTGCCTCTTTGGGCAGCGAACTCCCCAGGGGAGACCCCTGCTTCCGCCTCCCGGAAGCTCCCTGCCTTCCTTTCTGCAGGCCTGGACCAGCGGTGTGATCCGGAGGGGCTTCACCTCTCTCAGCCTCAGTGTCCTCACCGGCAAGATGCGGGGAATGAGAGTAGGTGCCTCGTAGTGTGTTTATAGGATTAGACAGATTTTTTTTTTTCCAGAAAAGGTCTCACTTTGTAGCTCAGGCTGGCCTTGAACTCACTATGTAGCCCAAGCTGTCCTCAAACTGGTGGCTATCCTCCTGCCTCAGCCTCCCAAGTGCCGGGATTACAGGCGTGCACCATTGCTCCTGGCAGAAGCACACATATTAATAAGTATAAAGCACTCAGAAAAGGCAGGTGCCGTCCTTCACCAGCGTCCCTGGATTGAATCGCCTCAGCCTTAGCGGTAGTCGTGTGAGATGTGAATCTGAATCCACAGCAGCCAGTTTGCAGCCATGAGGCAGAGCACTGAGCTCCTAACCTGGCAGAATTTCCGCTGGTTAAGTCACTCCAGGAGGAGCCCAGGCAGCCAGGACCAGGATTTTGCCAGTGCAGTGCACGGTGTGCCCCCCCTTTCTGCCGCCTGGGCTGGGCCCGGGGAGGCCCCGATTTGCAGGGCCAGGCCAAGAGGCTCGCGCTCTCACCACAAGCAGGTGGCCCCTCTGGTCAATAAACACCCGGAGATTCAAATAATCCACATACCTGCTACCAGGAGGGCGCTCTGATTACAAGAGACACACGCCGTGTCCGATAGCCGGTTCCTCTGTGGTTTTGCTTGAAAAAAAAAATGAAACCAAATTCTTCATGCAAATAGTTAGGTCTTTGCTAAATTATGTAACAGCCGCTTCTCTCCGCTGAAAAACACAGCTTTCCCTAAATCTGTAGAGACACATTGCAGACCGATTTTGCCTGGAATCCAGGAGGGGCGGGGAGCCCTCTCCGACACACAAGGCCGAGCGCCTGGAATGGTGATTCGGCCGCAGACGGAACCGGGGCGATGGCTGCAAGGGGGGTCTATGCACGGAACACACGGTCCCCAGATTTAGTAAATAAAAATCCAAGACCTTCAGTTAAGTTTGAATTTCAGGTGAGCAAGAAATGGTCATTTTAATATAAGTAGGTTCTGGGTATGGCCCCAGACACTGCAAGGGGTGTACTTGCACTGTCAGATCATAAAAACCACTGCAAGCAACCTGGGCAGGGGCCGCCTGGAATCCCAGCACTCTGGGAAGCTAAGGCAGGAGGACGGCAAGTTCAAAGCCAGCCTGGGCTATGTGGGGAGACCCTGTCTCAAGGCAAAAAAGGGCTGGGGATGTGGGTGTGGCTCATGCAAAGTACAGTAACAACAACGGAACAGCACAGAATCTTGCTCCGCGCTGTGGCTGCTCTGGCTCCTGTTATAAACGCAAGAATCCCGACTCTTAGCTCGTTAATTTACGCACACAGCACTGTGGGTGCTTCAAGCAGGGAAGTGAAGTGCTCCTGAGCTGGCATCCAGCTTGGGAATTGTCAGGTTAGTGATGGGCAGGTGTGTGAAAGGGACGCCAGGTGCATGAGGCGGTACCCACCGAGGGAGACGCCAGTGATAGAAGCTCCCAGTTACTGTGGCACCAGGAGTGGTTGGCACACAGCTGGCTGAGTCCTAGGAGGCTGGCACAGCTAGGGCAACACCTACAGCACCGTGGCTGGCGGGGGCCTGGGGGTCAGCTCCAGGCCCTGCTCTTACACTCAGCTCAGGTTCTTCCAGCTGTCATTAAGAGCGGGCACTGCTGGGCGTGGTGGTGCACACCTGTAATCCCAGCACTCGGGAGGCTGAGGCAGGAGGATCGTTGCGAGTTCGAGACCAGCCTGGGCTACAAAGTGAGCTCCAGGCCAGACTGAACTGCACAGCGAGACCCTGTCTCAAAAATAAATAAATAAATAAATGGAGAGGTTGCTGGCGGTGAAAAGGTTGACCTTCAGCCTACTTGGATTCATGAACAGTTCCAAAGTAGCTGATGGCATTTCGTACCAGAGGTGATAGGATATTGGGAGTGGATTTTTTTTTTTTTTTTTTGAGATAGAATCTTACTGTGTAGTGCAGGCTGACCTTGAACTCATTTATTGTGTAGCCCAGGCTGACCTCAAACTCAGGATGATCCTCCTGCCTCAGCCTCCTGAATGCTAGGATTACAGGAATGTGCCACTACGCCCAACCAGAAATGGTTTTTTTATTATTATTAAAATTATTATTTTTAGGGGTGGTGGGTTTCCGGTACCTGGAATCGAACTCACGACCTTGCACTTGCCAGGCAGGCGCTGTGCCGCTGAGTTAAATCCCCAGCCCCTTAAAATTATTATTATTACTATTTTTGTCTGTTTGAGACAGGGTTTTGCTATGCCCTTCAGGCTGGCCTCGAGTTCACTTTGTAGCCCAGGCTGGCCTGGAACTCACAGTGATCCTCCTGCCTCAGCCTCCCCAGAGCTGGGATTACAGGCATGCACCATTGCGCCGGGATGTTTTGGGGATTTTTGTTTTTTTTTTTTGTTTTCGGTCACAAGATGTTACAGGCAGTGTTACCCGGCCTTCTTCAGCACACTTGAAACTATAAGACTTTGACAATGGCGCCATCTAATGGAAGATCATAGAGTTGCAGGGACAATCATGCCACTTCTGTTCAGATTTTGTCACTAGCAACTTCAAACCTAAACAACCTCGAACTCTGGAGACTCACTGCTGATTCTCTCTTGCTCTCTCTTATTCTCTCTCTGCCTCTTTCTGTCTCTCTTTCTGTCTCTCTGTCTGGGTCCCTCCCTCCCTCTCTCCCTCCCCCATTTTTCTGGGCAGTAGGAGGGATTGAACCCAGGCTCTTCACACTGGGCTCCATCCCCAGCACCTTCAAAAACAATTTTTTTGTGTGTTGAGACAGGGTCTTGCTAAATCAGCCTGGCCAGGCTCAAATTTATGATTCTCCTGCCTCAGCTTCCTAGAGTTCTGGGATTACAGGCATGCATTAGTGCACTCTACTTCAGCTCTTATTTCTAATAAAGATGCACTATTGATGTTGCAAAAGTATAGAATAAATAAGAACGGTATATTGAAATGCTGCAAAATACAACTTCCTCACACACACAAATAAATTAACTAATACATGTATAAATAAATATATATATTGCACTTATTGTACCATTTGCCCACTACGAATATATTTCCACTGAAATACATAGAAAATTATCATTTTTTAAGGTCTCCAAAATGTCTCATCTTGTATGGGATTTTCTTTCAGGGTAATACAAGTGTTCCAAAACCGATTCTCTGATGCTTCCACAGCTTTGTGAATGTACAAGAAGCAATAAACTCTATGCTTTAAGTGGGTGAATACTATGTGAATTAAATCTCAGTAAAGTTGTTTGTTTGTGTTTTGAGACAGGGTCTCACTATGTAGTTCAGGATGGCCTTGAACTCACTATGTAGCCCAGGCGATCCTCCTGCCTCAGCCTCCTGAGTGCTGTGACTGCAGGCATGTGCCACCATTCCAGGCTCAATAAAGCTGTGTGTGTGTGTGTGTGTGTGTGTGTTGTTGTTTTTTTTTTTAAGAAACAATGTCAAAAATATTCCAATCCTAAGGAACTATTACAAGGTACACAGCCAGTTTCCAGGAGATGAGCAGTTAGGTGTTTTCAGTTTTTCATTATTGCCAGCAAAACTACTGTGAGACCCTTGTCTGGTGGAGGCAAGTGGAAAATTCCAGGTCTGCACAACACAGCTCTGGATCCAAGTACAAAAATTCCACCATGAGCCGGGCATGATGGAAACCACATTTTTTCCAATTTTCAAGTGGATGGAAGGGACTTCTCCGCTGAAGATGGTCCCTCAGTGGCTATGAGCAGGGGGTGATTGGGAGGTATGTTTTTAGCTAACACTCTGTCACTAGAGATAATCAATTTATGAAGATAAAAAAGACATAGTGGCCCACTCCTGTAGTCCCAGGACCTTCGGAGACTGAGGCAGGAGGCTATAAATTCAAGTA